TCTGCCCCCAGGGTGGGTTTTTGCCACACTCTGTGTGGGTCTGTGCCCCTGTGTCCAGATCCACGCATGTCTCTGTGCCAGTGTTGCCCTGAAATAATCCTCCACTCAAATACAACGAAGCTGAGCTGCTGGAGGGAATTCTGTGGTACCCCTGGCAGCTGCCACAGAGAAACTGCTGCCACCAGGCTCTTCATCTTCACTCAAGATCCGTCAGGGCTTAGATATACTGCCTCTAGTTTGCTAACAGTACAGAGCAGGGCGGCTGTGGGCTTGATGGTGACTTCCCAGAGTGACTGCTGGTGCTGCAGTGTCACCCAGGGCTGGAAATCCTGGGACATTTTGCTCTGCTTCCTGCTGTCCCTCAGTAACTGCATCAGAGCGGGGAAGCTGCTTCACTGGCAGCAGCGACAGCACTGGGAATGCTGCTGCCTGGTTCAGTCCTTGGGATTATCTCTGGTTCTCATACCTGCCAAAAAAAATGCCTGTGGCTGAAACTCTCTGAAACAAAATCCCCCTCCCCGAGCGCAGGCGAGAAAGAAACCACCCAAACTCTTAACCCTGCTGCTGCAAATTGTCATTTCCCATGGTTTGCCTGCTTTGCTCACGGATGGCTGCTTCCACAACAGGATTTACCAGGAGGGCTCGGAGGCCAGCGCCGCCGTGGTGGCCGTGGAGACCCACACCATCCACAAGCTGGAGGAAGGGATCGGTGAGTTCCTGCCTGGCGTGGGCACAGTCCCCTCCTCTGCAGGGCTGGTCGCCACAGAGCTGGGCTCTCCAGTTCGCTGGGCTTCCTTCTGGCTCTGCCCCTGCAGATGCTGTTTCCCGGGCATGGATGTGGGTGCAGGGTCTGGGCATACTCTGGAATAAGAGTCTGCTGTTACTGCTTGGTCTCAAAGTCCTGGAAGTGAGATCCTGGCTGTCCTGCAGTGAATGGTAAGGGCTCCCACGGGGTCCAGGGCAGCCGAGGTTTCACCCTAGTCTGTGACGCTCGCAGGCAGGAGTGATGGTTGTGAGGATGGTGGTTGTGTCTGTGCCAGCTGAGGCATCAGGCTCTGAGTGCTGGTTGTTTGCTGAACAGGCAGCCCAACAGTTTGGGTTGGATGCTCAGGAGGAACTACACAGGTTGGCTCTACGTGCTCCCTGCCATCCTGAGGAGCTTGTGGGAAAAGGCTCCTATCATTAGGTGCTGTCACTAGATCTTATTTTGCTTCCTGTGTGGGTGTGGGTCTTCAGAAGTCAGCAGAAACTCTGTGTGCAAAGAGAATATGTTGTCAGTAAAGATCTGATAGCACTGCTAAAGAGATAGCAGAGCTCCCAGGAATCTGAGCTATCCGTGCTTTCCACAAGATTGTTCTCACTGACCCCCTTACAGATGTGTTGAGTTTCCAATCCCATATTCTCCTGATAGATGAGCTTCAGTTTGTGTGTTACTGTGTCAAAAAGCAGATGCCAGTTGCTGTTAGACCTAGTAAAGGGAGAAGACTGAGAGAGGACTGATCCTGAACTGGGAACAACCCTTCCTTTGGTTTCCTGCGCGTGGGCCTCACAACCTGTGAGCTTTCAGGACCTTGTGGGATTTGAGCTTCTTGGGTGGAAAGTTTCATTTTCACCCCTTCCTCCCTCAGACCCCAGCACCATCGAAACGAACGAGGAGATCGAGATCGCCTACCCCATCACCTGTGGGGAGAGCAAAGCCATCCTGCTCTGGAAGAAGTTTGTCTGTCCAGGAATTAATGTCAAGTGTGTGAAGGTAAGGGAGCTTTCCCAGCAGGTTCCTCTGCTCCCAAGGTCCAGCACTTCCTTTCCTTTTGTGTTTTGTCTGAGCCTTCTCCTGGAGCCCAGTGGCTTTGCCTCTGCAGCGTGCTGGATCATCAGTGCTAAAATTGTTTCTAGCATAGGGAGAAGCAAAGGAGGAGTGGGTGAGGGAGTTAAAGCCTATCACCCACCTTATATTTCAGCACTGCTCTTAATGACTGCTTAAAGCAAAGTTCTGTTTAGATGAGCTGTGGGCTGGCTGGGTTGGATGTCCCAAGAGCTTTCCAAAGTGATGTTACCCTGTTCACTGAGCCTTTGTTTATCTCCTTGTCAGTTCAATGACCAACTGATCAGCCCGAAGCACTTTGTTCACCTGGCTGGGAAGTCTACCCTGAAGGACTGGAAGAGAGCCATTCGCCTGGGGGGAATCATGCTGAGGTATTTGACTTGCCCACCACATCCAGTTTTAGGGCTTCATCACTGCAGGACCCCCAGCAGGGGTTTTGTCTGCCTTGCAGTCCTTGGGAGATCTGCAATGTCATATTACCTGGCCAGTCGCCTGCAGAGGTGCTGGCCCCGTGGTCTGAGGGGCTGGATTCCTCACCTGAGGGACCTGGTGGGGGTGGAATGGAGCTGGATCCCTCTGTGTGAGGCTGGGGGGTGCCTTTGCCATTTGGGAGCCCTGCAGGAGATGTTTTGTGTGCTGAGTGGTGCCGGGTCTCCCTTCCTCCATCCTTCCCTTGGCCAGAGCGTTCCTACCTGGAATGCTCCCTGTTGTCTCCAGGCTGAGATCTGAGCTGAGCCTGGTTCTCTCCCCACTCCCTGCACAGGAAGATGATGGACTCGGGGCAGATTGACTTCTACCAGCACGACAAGGTCTGCACCAACACCTGCCGGAGCACCAAGTTTGATCTCCTCATCAGCAGTGCCAGAGCTCCTGTGCCAGGGCAGCAGAGCGTGGTGCAGACCCCCACCTCTGCTGATGGTAGGAAATGGGTTCCCTCTGGGCATCCTGCTCCCTCCCTGTGCTCATCAAATTGGGTTAATCTCTCCCCAGCAGACACTTTGCCTCTTCTCCCCAGGTGTAGCATGGCAGTGATAGAATCCCAGACTGGTCTGGGTTGAAGGGACCTTTCAAGCTCATCTGGTCCAACCCCCTGCAGGGAGCAGGGACATCCCCAGCTAGAGCAGGGTGCTCAGAGCCCCGGCCAACCTCCCCTGGGATGGTTCCAGGGATGGGGCAGCGACCACCTCTCTGGGCAGCCTGGGCCAGGGGCTCACCGCCCTCAGCAGCAACAATCTCTGCCTTCTCTCTAGTCTAAATCTCCCTCTTTTAGCTTAAAACCATCACCCCTTGTCCTGTCATTGCAACAGGCCCTGCTCAGAAGTCTGTCCCCAGCTTTCTGACAGGCCCCTTGAAGTCCTGAGAGGCCACCAGAAGGTCTCCCTGGAGCCTTCTCTTCTCCAGGCTGAACAAGCCCAGCTCCCTCAGCCTGGCCTCCCAGCACCAGGGCTCCAGCCCTCAGTCCCACAGTTCAGAAGACTGTGCTGGTTTCTTAGGAAGGAAAATGCTTCTCGTGTCTGCTCAGGGAGGTCCCAGCAGCATCTGTCAGGGAGCTTTGCTCTGCAGTAACACAAGGGCTGGAAAGCAGCCGTGACTGGAGGCAGCTTTGGTAGCCAGGGCAGGCTCACCTTGAAGGGATCCCTGTTCTGGGGTCACCACGTGAGCAAACACCTGAGAGAGCTCATGTCTGTCCTGTTAGAGGGTCTGTTGCACAAGCAGGGGATGAGCTAACACACAGGAATTAGTGTAGGGCTGCTGACCTGCTCCAGATCAGCCTGCTCCACATCCCCTGGACAGACATGAGTGGGGTATGGTGGCTGGACATGATCTGCTTGTCTTTAGAACAGCAAATCCTCAGTGAATCCCGTGCTTCCAAGCAGAAAGTCATCTCTTTGCTGAGGGCCAGGGAGAAAACTCCTCCCAGGTGAGGCACGTTGTTCAGCTGGGCAGGTGACATTTCTCCAGGGCCCTGGCTGGGTGGGGTGGCAGAACTGTCTATAGGCTGAGGAGAATCTCCTGGAAAGCACATGGTAAAACCTTCCAGTGGCTGCAGCTTGGCTTAGTTCCAAATTTGATTCAGAAACTTTGGGTTGAGTCAGCTCCATTTCCCTTCTGTGAAGCAGCTTGGATGTGGACCCTGTCATTTCCTGAGAGCTGGGGGCATCTCTGAGGTGCAGAGCTCCCTGCTGATGATCCATGGGGAGAAGGGTGCCCAGGCTGAGGCTTATTTGTTCTCATCTTTATTCTGATCTCTTTTGGCTCTTTTTATGCCAGGGCTCCACTTTGCTGTCTGAAGGGCACGTGCTTTTTTCCTCCAGAAGCCCTGGAGCCTTTCCCAATCACAACTCCAATGAGCAGCAACAATATTTGCTGTTAGCTAATTTGGTTAAAAGAAGCCAGACACAAACAACCTGACCACGAGAGACTGAGGGGGAGGATAAAGAGCCTGGAGGGGGCTAGGGGGGGGGTTGGAAAGCAAAGCTGGGCTTCAGGGCTGGCACTGGGGGTGCTGCAGAGGGGGCTGACGTTGCCTCTCTGGCAGGGAGCATCACCCAGATTGCACTGTCAGAGGAGAGCATGGAGGAGGGCATCGAGTGGAACTCAGCTCTGACAGCTGCTGTCACCATGGCCACTGAGGAGGGCATGAAGAAGGACACGGATGAGATCTCAGGTAAGCTCAGGCTGCTTGGTGGCTGTTTCCTTCCCCTCTCCTCACACGCCTGTTCTGGAGACTGACAGCCTGAAAAGAAGGAGAGTTTAGGCAATGACAGCTGTCCCCCAGCCCTTGGCCATCCCAGCATTTCCCAGGCTGCAGGCAGAGGGGGACCCCAGCCCTGGCCTTGTGCCAAGGGGATGATCCCCCCAAATTAGTTACAGTGAGGGGCTTTGTTTTGTGTTCATTCTAAGGATGTAATAGCCTGCCAGCCTGGAGCCAGGCTGGAACCATCAGGGAACAGCAATTGTCAGTGCCCCACCAGCTGTCTTGGCCGTGTCTCTCTGGCCATGGTGCTGTGCATTCCTTCTTCAGATCAGTACAGAAGCTTAGGCAGAACCTCCTCAAACAAAGATTTTTAAGCTCTGTGTCTTGCAAAGATGAACAGAGGCAGTGAAATGTCACCTTGGAAGTCATGGTGCTGCTTGAAAACTGGTTTGTTGCCTGGATCTGTTTTCTTTCTTAGGGTTTATTCTTTTTTTACATATCATATCCACCCCAATGGCCAAATGAGAAGTCATCTTGCAGAGTTACTCTTTCCTGAAAGGTTTGAGGGGAGAGTACCAAATGCTTGTATGTGTTGACTTCTTTTTCCACTCTTCTTGTGCCAGAGGACACGCTGATGTTCTGGAAAGGAATAGCTGATGTGGGGCTGATGGAAGAGGTTGTCTGCAACATCCAGAAGGAGATTGAAGAAGTCCTAAGAGGCGTCCAGCAGAGGTTGGGTCAGTCTCCCTTCCAGATGACAGGTAGGTTATGAGCCACAGCCTCTGGCTCTGCAGTGGGGAAGGATGCTCAGAAAGGCAGCTGCAGGCAAAAACAAGTGACAAGGATCTATCCCCAGCATTTAAAGCAGTTGAGTCAGGCTGGTGAGAGAGTTCCTGCCCGTGAGCTGAGTCTGGGTGTGCTCTCAGCCTGCCCAACTGTGAAGAGCTTCAAGGCACAAGGACCCAAGGTGCCACCCCCTTCCCTGGGCACAGCGACCCTGGCAGCTTGCTGAGACCATTGGGTGACTCTCCTCAGCTCCCAGCCCTCAGGAAAACCTCCCTGGATTCACCTCTCAGACCAGAGTTATTCCAACACTTTCCTCCCTGGCATTGCAGGAAAACCTCCCTGGATTCACCTCTCAGACCAGAGTTATTCCAACACTTTCCTCCCTGGCATTGCAGGAAAACCTCCCTGGATTCACCTCTCAGACCAGAGTTATTCACACACTTTCCTCCATAGCAGTGCAGGCTCAAACAGGTCCTGCCCCCTCACTTCTCCTTCTGTCTTCACTTGTGCCAGAAAACCTGTTTTTTGGGCTGAACCAGATGAGGGAATTAATCTGGGTTAAAAATAACTCCCCTCCCCTCTGTAGGGTTATTTTTAACTTGGATGAGTGCCCTAATCCAGTTCAGCACATGCCCTGGTGAGCACGGGGTTTGAGAGCACCTCTTGATGCTTTTGCTGAGTGAACATCCATGGAGCCACAAACTTCATTTTACCCAGGATTTATTTAATTTTTCTAAAATTTTTCTCATTTAGCTTTGGGCTGGCAGATCTTTGTGTCTGGTAGGCGGCAGCTTTTGGAAGCTGTGATTGAAGTCAGTGCATTATAACAGAGATTTTGCACAGCTTTCAGTGGAGCTGGCATGTTAATGGCACTGTCAGCAGCATGGGGTGGTGATTTGGAGGTGGAGAGCTCGTTTGTATCTCTGTGATTGCAAATTATGCTTTCATTTGCAGCAATTTTGAGCTGCTTGGGTGACACATCTCTGTTTCATTTTCTTTCTCGAGTGAATGGAACTATATAGTCCTTGGATGTCAGAAGGATGCAGGAGTTGGGTTTGCCCTTGGGAAAGAACAGAGGTGATTTTACCAAAAAGGGCAGAAAATTCAGCCCTGTGCCCTTCCCTTGCAGATGCTGCTGTCTTGAACAACGTCGCCCACACGTTTGGCCTGATGGACACAGTCAAGAAGGTTCTGGACAACAGGAAAAACCAGACAGAGCAAGGAGAGGAGCAGTTTCTTTACACACTGGCAGGTACAGTCAGCACCCAGTGAGGCTTCTCATCCTCCTGCTCTCAGCAAGTGATCCAAATTTCCTTCCACATAGGAACCATGTTTGGGTTATTATTCAATACACACTGCCCCAAAACAAACTCATCCCAACTCCTTTCCCTCCTAGAGCTTGTGTGGAATTTCCTCTCTCCCTTCCCTCCCAGTGAGCAGTTGCTTGGGGCATTGCCAGCCCAAAGTGTGTGCCCTTGGCTGCAGGCAGGGTGCTGGGGGTGCGTGTGATCCCGTTGGCATTAGGAGAGAGGTGCCACCAGCTCAGAGCTGTGCCACAGTCACCCGAGCTGTGGGTGCTGCCCTGCTGGGCCTGGGTGCTCTGGGGACAGGGTGCTGAGTTGTCTCCTTGTCTGGGTGTGGAGCTATCGGATGTCTTTAATGGATTCCCCTGCACTGAAGCCAAGAGCCTGACCTAGATTCACCAGAGCCTCTTGCTGGATGTCTCCCCCCTCACCGTGTGCTGTAGGACCTGTTCTTCTCTGGGGTGTCCCAGTCCCCTGCTGCCCTGGATAAGTGAGGCTGCTGCACTGCTTCTGACCTCCAGTGTTCAAGGAAGTGCAAGAAAGCTGGAGACAGACTTTTTAGCAGGGCCTGTTGCAACAGGACAAGGGGGGATGGTTTGGAATTAAAAGAGGGAGATGTAGACTGGAGAGAAGGAAGAGATTTGTGATGCTGAGGCCCAGGCTGCCCAGAGAGGTGGTCGCTGCCCCATCCCTGGAACCATCCCAGGGGAGGTTGGCCGGGGCTCTGAGCACCCTGCTCTAGCTGGGGATGTCCCTGCTCCCTACAGGGGGTTGGACCAGATCACCTTGAAAGGTCCCTTTGGCCCAAACCAGTCCATGATAAGGGGTGAGTGAGATGTTTCACTGACTCAGGCAATCCTGCCCTCTGTTACCTGTACAGGTGCTCGGCTCCTGTGGAAGGGACTTGGCCAAGCTCAGGAAGCAGTTCCTACTGCCCAGGGGGTCTGCCCACTCTCCCTGGTAGTAGGTGCAGCTTGGGGAGCAGAAATGTCCATCCTTTCATCAGTAGGAGTAGCAGACTGGTACAGGGCACTGCATGGTCCTTACCCAGGCACTGACAGTTGGCCAAAGCAGGCTGAGCAGGTGGCAGGAGAGGAGAAACTTCTTTGGGGTGAGGGTGCAGAGCCTGGAGCAGCTGCCCAGAGAGGCTGTGGAGTCTCCTGCTCTGGAGAGATCCCAAACCTG